CTCAAAGGTGGTCTAGAAATTATAGTCTCATCGTGTCGTATTCACTACCAGTAGTCATTCTTTCAATCATGTTACATACTAACGTATAGTTCTCGTTGTACATTAGATTGAAAGCTCTAGTCATTACTGAATGTATGTTTCTTATTCCACTGATTGGCAGTATGCCAAAAAGAACATAGTTATGCCTAAGCAGAAATTCGCAATGAAAATCACTTTCATTTAAGTAGTATTGACATATAAATGAACAAGAAATTTGATTATAAATACTGAATACCACTACAATCCTTTCAAAACCCTCCTTCTGATTATATAAACTAATTAAACTAGAGACTGGACAAGTATATTGAAGACTCTTTGTGACAGTATAGTTATCCTGTATTAGATCATGAATACTCACTGCTTACAAGTCTCATACTAAGACAAAACGTAGTCTAGATGATTTTTGATTTTTACTGAACAACTATTTAAAATGAGTCCAGGATGTCAACTGTAATTAATATTGAAGAAGAAGGATGTATTTGTAAAATCCTAATAACTCAGCAGTGCGTCATCATGACCTGGATTCGAACCCAGGAACTCTCATTCTTGCGCACGAATACTTAACTTTCCTTGAAGATCACTCTAAATGTATCTGACGATTACAAATGTGAACATCAGCCTACCACATTGTTTTGCTTATCTCTAAGAGAAACAAAATTGGATCAATTATCTTCGTATAACGTGCAGATAGTTATTTTCTTATTGATTGTGAAAATGAAAAATAAACTTAAGAAAAAAATAAAGAAATCAATCAATGTGATCGACGACGTTTTTCTTTTGAAATCCTTCTTTTGATTTTTGAATAGACAGAGAAATGAAAAAAGTGGCGGTCATTTTAAAGAAATATCTAATAAAGGGAAACAAGAAGGTATTGTTTGTTTGAATGTTTCTATGGATGAGAGATTTAGTAATTGGGTAGGTGAATGGTATTGGTTTGAGTTGTGGAGTGATAGATGAACACTGGAATGTAGATCTCTCTAGTTGATGAGCCTTAAATAGGACGAAAACTGTGTCTTGGATTTCATTACTAGTCACTTACTACCTTTATTTAGAATGCTTGTGAATTAGGGTGATATCGAGGTATATTCAGCCGTTGATTCCCTATTAGGTTGAAGCACGTGTCTCGGATTTTACTGCTAGCCACTTTTCATCTTTGCTTATTCATCTTGTTTGTTCTCACTGACTGGTTTAATATTTTCTCATAACATCGTTTAAGCGTCCTGATGGGACAGTAAGCATAGGTAATTGCTAAGCCAGTCTTGCATTACGAACAAGGGAACATGTATATTGTTATCAAGTAGTCACCTTATATGAGTATAAATGTACTCTGAAAATTGTTTGTCGACAATTGATAATGAAGTATTAGTATTGTTTTTTTCTTTTCTTTGGATAACTGAGTGGAATATGGATCATAACTGAATCAGACGGTTGGATACAATAACACTTTTGAACTGAAACAAATTATATGTTATCAACGAATAACATTCCAGTTTGTTTAAAGAAAATTTTTATAGATTCGACCAACTCATCGATTGTATTCATGAATGATTAGTTTACATCAGGGTGGATACTATCAAAGACTAGAAAGCGCTAGATGGACATAGCAATATAATAATGTGGTTGTTTAAGAATAGGTGATCATAATCCCTCCAGGGATCTGCGGTGAACACAATCGACAAGATACCAAAATATCCTATTTATTTAATGAATATTGGGTTTTGGAGATTGCTAAGTTTTTGGTCAAGATCACGAATCGACTGATGTTTGACCATCAATGTTAGCCTAGAAGCACTGGACGGCCGTTTCATCATATTGTGGAACTACTCAATAGTGCGCATTCGTGACCTCGCTAGAAGGGTTTGAACCCAGGACCTACGGTGTCTTTTTCTTCATTCTTACATTATTTTCTAACTAAAATCAATTCATCATTCTCTCTTTTAAATTTAGTTTACATGCTAGTAATATTGATTCTATTCCCATCCTCACCCTCATTCTCACCCCCTTCTTTCTTTTTTCTTTAATACAATGTTCATCTATACCTGTTTGAGAACATTGTTGCTTAGTGATTGAATATGAATAAATTTTAGATATGAAAAACTGTTCAAGTATTGACATCTTGACAACTTCTCAGTCTTTAGAAAGCAGGTTCTCTTGAACTTTATACTGAAAAACAATAAGTGAGTAGTATGGAAGTAGTTTTATTTTGGAAGATAAGTTCATATTTATATATCTAAAGAATATCTGAGGACCATGCAGTGAATGCTTCATAATTACAACATACGATAGTACAAATGACGGTTGATACCGGTGTTTTATAACAGTTTATGAACAATGGAAACCCGAACCAAGAGCAAAACAATATGGAAACTGTTGTGTTTAAACAAATGCACAAAACTGTGGATAACCACTACAGTGATTAAGCCACAGTAATGATAATGATAAATACAATGATAAGTACAATAAACATTATAAGTATATGTGAACATTTCAGAATATTACAGTACAACCTGCATTACAACATAAGTGTACAGATTGTTGGGAATACAACTGCTTACTGAATGTAAATAAGTAGTATAAAACACAGTATACAAAGGTGTGGAAAGGGAGCGAGTAGGAACAATGTATGACAAACTTAACAACTAGTATTCACTGAATGACAGTAGATGATTGTTGCTCTCTATCCTGAACTGAACATAATTTTAGTGGATCCACAACCAATTGTTCTAATGACTAAACGTTAGTCAATAGAATTGAAGCTCACGGCTGTCATTCCTGGTGGAGTTATGAGTGTAATCTCTTAATAGAAAGAAACAACTATACATTAATTCCTGCTTTTTGAATACCGATGTGTCTGATCATACAACTAAGATACACGCGAAACCAAAGTTCACAATACAACATTTTTTTAGAAACATTTCTTTATTGAGGAATAGACATTCATTACTAATAAACCTCAACTTATGAGGTATCTATGGCTCTTAGCGCGCCTGTGTGTCTGAAATTAAAAAGGCTTACTGCAATAATAAAATAAAGAATAGTTGTGACACACTATAGTACAAATTACAGAGTTAATCAACAAGCAAAGAGGGAACCTAATTATTTACTTGCTTACTTACTCCTTTGACCCTCGCCGAGTAGCATTGGCCGCCCACCACCATTGTTCATTCATATCTCTTCTTGGCAATATTTTCCACTTTATTCCCAGTTGCTATTCATCCTTTTTCATGTTTGCCTCCAATTCCCGACTCAATGTGTTCTTTGGCCTTCCTCTTTTTCGTCAAGGTCTTCATACTCCTGTCGAACAACACCAGAAAAAAGAGAAAGAGGGAGAGTAGGCAACTAATTTAACAACTTGTATAGATAAAACTCATTTCGTGATATTAACTATAAAATGAAACTTCTTGGTAGTAAATTTGTAGATTTTGATTCTAATGTTCACTGTTAAACATGAATAACCTAGTTGGGATCTCATGGTGTGGAGGTGATTGTTCATATACATACCATAATGTCGACACATTTCGAATGAAAACAAAATACATTTGTTCAAGGCTTATTGTTTTATATTGTTTTTCCAACTTTAAGTTAGTTGCTGTGGTGCGAAATTGCATATTGTATAATAGTGGTAAAAAGTCGTCTTTGTGAAATATTGCCCTCGAATGCCCTGGTGTGGCCGAGGTTGGGGAGAGTCCACTCTTCCTATCGAAACGCTCTCAACTGGCCACGCGTATACAACAACTGCCAGGGAAGTCCTACTCATTGCCTTTTTGTAGTGAGGGTGTTTTCGCTAGATTAAGAGGATGAGGAGCGAGTGTCCGGTACTTCAACTAGTGGTTGGATATGGAGCGTCCACGTAAATGTGTTGGGAAACCGTGATTCCAAACTAATGGTGTACAGAGGCTCCAGGATCCTGGGGGAACAAATGGCGTATGAATCTATTGTTGGTTACCGGTTGCCATGTGACTACATCACTTAACATTGCTCCATTGTCTTGTGGATTAGACCATTGGTCAAACGCTCCGGGTGTATTCCTCTAAGAGAACCACTTGCTTCCATTATAGCACCTGGGCACTATCCCTCACACAAATCGAACGGTGAAGTGTAATAAATGTCAATGTGGTGCCTCCCTGTACCTATGATTATGCGTTTAAATTATATGTATATTCTTTAATGCAAACTGAAAAAGTAAGACATTGTGGTAGTCTAATTAAACGTTTTCCAGGAAATTGACAAGAAATCTTTGAACCCTAAATTTAACATTCAACAGCAAGTCATATTTACACTTTGAAAAACTCGCATGCTCCTCTATGGATTTAGATAGATATTATTCAATAGAAGATATCATCATTGGAACCCGTTCACTACTGAGGTCTCAGTCGGTTATAAGACAAACTCACTCACTCGTTTATTGTTATTTTTTATTTTATTTAACCAGATGAAAATTGGTACGTGGAGTCACCAAACAGATATGCTTCACATAAATCATTCAATTCATGTGAGGGCTGAGATGCTGCCCGGGTGCCCAAACCAACGGAGGTGCGTTTCTTAGGGGGCCACACCCCGAGCCTTTGACTTACAGGTCTAATCCACAAGGTAGTGGAGCAACGTCAGGTGGTGCAGTCCCATGGTAGCTAGTGAAAAACAATCAGTTCATACGCCTTTTGTTCCCTCAGGATACTGGAGCCCATGTGCACCATCGGTTTGAAGTGGGGGTTTCTTCAACTGCCACAAGTGGATTCTTCATACCCACAATCTCATTAAAGGCGTCGAACTTTCACTTTTCATCCTCTACATTTCATAAACAACAACCCCTTGACGACAATATAGTGAAAGTAGGATTTCCCTGTCAGATCATTTCAAGAAGGAGAACTGACTCTTCTCATTCTCAATCATTATCATTATTATTATCCTCATTCATAGCTATTCTCTTTTTCTTTTATATACTTTACCAGGATTTATCACATATGACATCTATATGTGATTGTACAAGTTTACATTTGACTCAAAATGATAAATTTCTAGTAGATAAAACAGATTCATCATTCGATTTAATCACTGGTTGGGAAGGTTCGGCTATTTCAAGACATGGTTCAATGATACAATTTGATTGTTATAAATTTATTTTTAGTTTAGTCAATCATTCTTTACCTTCCTATCCATCATCATCATCATCAGCATCAACTTCAACATGAATGACAATGAATAATAGTTCAACACAATCTTCTTCTTCGCATGAATCACCAGTACTACTCACAGATTCTTTATCAGTAGTAACAAAAGATGTTTTAAAATTATCTAAAAATAACAATTTACTTGTTCATTATTTTTTTAAATTGATTTAATAAATCAAACGAACAAAAAAGGAAAGAAAGAGAAAAAAGGAGAGAAAGCGATATAAACAGTATTATCATTCCTATGAATTTATACTACTTATAAACTACTTATATAATTTTGTATATTTGTGTTGTATGAAATTTATGATTACAATTATTATTATCGCACTTTAACTAAATAACATCTCTTTTATCATTCATTGTCTTGATCTGAAATGAAAATGATCATTGTATAGGCAGTCAGTTAGTCAGTTACAACGTAGTACCAGGCACATATGTGCATCAGTCCAAGTTGACATACCGCATTAGCACAGCAATATGAAAACCGAATTCATAGGAGTGGTTAAGACAGTCGTGGTAATATATAAAAGAAAAATTGCATATAAGGATATAATACAGGAAGAAAGTATTGTTCGTTGGAAGAAAGATATAAAGCGATTTTAATCTCTTATTTTAAAAGAAGACAAAGAGTACATACAACTACGCCATTGTCATCTATTTTCGTGGAGTTTTCTTCTCTAAGCTGGATGGTTTGGTCGTGGAGCTTTCATCGTCCTTCTGAACGACATCATCAGCACAAACTTCAGATAGAACTGAAGTGTTCGAATTTCTCCATATATGTTTCTTAGCTTGTTCTGTGCACCTCGATGTTGACTGGTTCTTGTTGACTTTAAAATTATGATTGTTTACTTCTTTGTTTTGGTTGTCTCCCATTGGTTTGATTTTCGTTCCTATATTTATGCATGATTTTCCTGATTGGTTGATAAATTGGATTGATTTCAATACGTTTGTTGATTGCTGATTGACCTGAGTACCAGGCTTCTAAAAATGTTCGGTTGTATTTGGAGTTTCCTCTATCTAAGATTTCTACATTGTCCTAATCGAATGAGTGTCCGTAGTTATCCACGTGTATTGATATAATTGAAGAGATATCATGGCGTGTGACTGCTAATTGATGTTCGTGTAGGCATAGGTGGAATGGACGTCCGCTTTGTCCGATGTAGTGTTTGTCGCACTTGGTACAATTTAATTTGTAGATGAGGTTTAATTTGTTTACCTTCCTAATTTCATCATTTGGATTGCATAGGATTTATTGTAGTGATTTTGTTAGTTCATGTATCACATCTATCCCGAAGGATTTCAGCAGTATTGCAACGGGATTAAAATCCGCAAAAATACAACTCAAACAGAGACTCACTCAACCAATCACTCACTAACTCCATTATACGCACAAAAAACACAATTATTCATTCAGAATCTGCAGTGCAACCAGTGAAAAGTGTTTAGATGTGCTGCTGACGTCAAGTTGTCAAGTTGTGACTATCACTTGTGCGAGTGGATTATGAGACCAGGAGATGGTGCAGCAGAACGCAACCCGATTGGACGTGATGCAATGGAAATCAACGCAACGCAACGGAACGCAACGCAACGCAACGCAACGCAACGCAACGCAACGCAACGCAATGGAATGCAATGAAATGCAATGCAATGCAATGAAATGAAGTGCGATACAAAATAAACCGATAATATTTAGTTGACTTCACTGTGCTACTGAAATGCTCGACAGTAGTTTGTTGTTTAGTGGAGTGCATGATCGGGAATTCGTTGTGTAAACTGAATATACTACTGATGAGGTGATGGTGAATTGTTGAGTTTATGCAGTAGTGTTGGTGAGTGATAAGATTGTGGAGTGTGGAACGTAGTGTAGATGATGTGTCGAAGGGTGTGTGGTGTGTTTGTCGATGTATGAAGAAGATTGTGTTGAGACGTGCAAAGCTGTTGCAGATGTGAGTGTGAAGTGTGTTGTTGTGAGGTGTGTTAGTGTTGCCAGCTTCACCTCGCCTAACCTCACAGCTAACTCACCCACTCACTCAATCACTTCATATCACCTAACTCACAATCACTCGACTCCCACTGATCAATAATCAGACACAAATTCCACACATTTACTCTACATCCATATCCAACAACACATTTTTCATCACTACAATTCGCAACACATACAACTCAACCACCAACCCACTCAACCAATCACTCACTAACTCCATCAAACGCACACACAACACCATTAATCATTCACAACTGACATATCGTCACATCACCAATTAATTTGTACCCTAGTTCTTCACCAGCTACTACCATTCCAACCAACACTTTCAACTTCTCAAACCACTTACATCTTCGAAATCGAATTTTCGTTTAGCATATCTTTGCCCAAGCAAACAGAAACAGCAATTATTCACAGTATTATGCCACTGAAATTCGGTCTGAATTCTTTACACACCTGTCTTGGTTGAATAGTGAGTATAATTACCTTAAATTTTCTCTTCAAGGAGGGATCATTTCGTGAAATTCACACAGTGATTTACACCAAATAGTCTACTGTAGTGTTCATGCATCCACACCAGATCACGAGTGGGAACGTCGTGTTCAACATCTGCAATCGCTAGCCAGTCTAGATCACTCGATCCTCGATATATTGATAGCCTATCAAATACATCTTCGACCCTCCTAGCTTCTCTCTTTTGATTTCACTTGGTCGATACAATTCATAGTAGAAGGTGTTACTGGTTAAAACGTTGTCAAACTCCAAATATCTGTGGAAGCTTCACTAATTCTCATCCGAATTCACTCTAAATCAGTCCACATTAAATTATCTGCTTTCAACCGAAAAATCTCCGATGTTCGCTAGGCCTTACTTACTCAGTGCCAAGCTGCCAAATTTCGTTCAAAATTACACAGCGCTGAGTGAATTTTCTCGCACTACTTTTTTTTATCTCTACGGGATCGTATATTCAACCCATATGAGTTTTACATTGCTTCTAATTGGTTTCTTTTTTCCTATTGTATTCCATGCTTTCCACTTCAATATAGAGTTTGCTTAGTTCCCTCAACCTTCGTGAGATGAATGAGAAAATTGCAGAATAATCAATCTTCTTTGATTCTCATCCTCACTTAGAGTGCATCTATCATCCCTCTTCTTCATAATTATTAAATCAACCCTAATTCGTCACTGATTACTCGTTATATAACTGTAATATCATCTTGACAACTATATTCAAACCCTTTCATTATTACATAATTATCAGAAGGGGTTTGTGGAGATTTTAGAAATTTCACAAATTGAAATCATGACTCATTTGAAGCTAGATCACCATGGAAAACCTAGAAGCACTGGACGGCCGTTTCGTCCTAGTATGGGACTCCTCGATCCCGCACCCCTTGAGATTCGAACCCAGGACCTACCAGTCTCGCGCCAGGCGCTTAACCAACTAGACCACTCTGAAGTCCAACCAGGTCTGTTGTGATATATCAACTCACTGAAGACAATGGTGAACGGTGGCGCAACTTTATGTATTGGTTGAAGTTAGACATTAACACCATTTGATGCCGGCCGGTTCAGTGGCCTATTTGGTTAAGCGCCTGACGCGAGACTGATAAGTCCTGTGTTCGTATTACATAATTGTTTATCTAAAGTAAATTTCTTTATAATCAAACTGTCTGTTTGAGTAAATTATCGAAATTTTTTAATTATTTGCCATCTAAATATAAAGGGAACAATATAACCCATGTCATAATCACATTATATAATAAGTAACTATGTCAATATACATATAATAAGTTAAATTAATCATTGCTCTGTCATCTATTGAAAACATAAATGACACATAGTAATGTAAAAAATAGTATCTAATTTCATTTTGTCAAAGAAGGGGGAAGTGTTGGGGGGGGGAGAGAACGAGGAGCATGGGGGAGAGGGAAGTATAGTTAATGTTTCAATTCTAAGTGTTATCGTCATGTCCTCCTCGTCCTCCTCCTCGTCCTCTTCCTCCTCCTCCTTCTCCTCCTCCCTCACCACCTTTGTTTTTTTATATGATTGATTTAAATAATAGTTCTTTTATGAAATTTGGATAGATCATTCATTTATTCACTATTTAAATGAAATATAATACAAAGTAATTAAAATAGGCATTGAAATCGTAGACTATTTATGATTAGAAATAAAATTAATTTAATAGTTGAATTCATGAGTCAATTGATGTTAGACCAACCATTAAAAATTTGAAAGCATTGAACAGTCGTTTCGTCCTAGTATGAGACTCCTCAACAGTGCGCATTCATGATCCTGCTTCACGAGATTCGAAACCAGGACCTATCAGTTTTGTGCGCGAGCACTTAACTTCTAAACCACTAAGCCGGCCGGAATCCAACGATGTTAATGTCTAACTTCAACCAATGCGCGATATTGCCCCACCGTCCATGATTGCCACTAAGGTGTTACTATCTCACAGCAGACCCTGTTGAACAACACTGGTCACGACTTCCCACTAGAATTCCAGGGAATCCATCTTGGTGACATTCACTACTGGTCATATGATGGTTATAACCAGAGAAGGGGTTTTGTGAATATTATAGTAAGAATTATAGGAAGTGACCTTGAGAGTGTCCATATGATAACTAGGACCAAATGAGGGTTATAAACCAACGTTTAAGAATTACATTTAAGGTTTTAATCACAAACTGAAATCAGCTATAATGCCGAAACTTTATTTATCCAAATGGCTGAATGAACTTCGCGCCAAAATCCAAGACCTGTTATCTTATACCTGATTGGTCCGTCTATAAACTACAGTCTCACCTTAATATCACCTAAATGATTGACCAATTCAAAAGAATCCCTCAGAGAATACTTACATAAATGTCTTCGAATAGGATTCAGCAACTTTGTTAGCCATTTAGATTCACGTAGGACTGAGCTGTATTTGCAACTGATTGATCACTGGGTAGTAATCAGTGTCATGTGTGTCAGGCACAGCTTACTCAAGTGCCATATGCACAAAAACTTGTGTCCAGGTTTT